AGATCCCCTCTTCCATCTCTTTTTTTTTTTTAAAGAAGATTTATTTACTTTTATGTAAATAGTATTCTGCCTGCATGTATGCCTGCAGACCAGAAGAGGGCACCAGATCTCATTACAGATGGTTGTGAGCCACCATGTGATTGCTGGGAATTGAACTTAGGACCTCTGGAAGAGCAGCCAGTGCTCTTAACCTCTGAGCCATCTCTCCAGTCCCTCTTCCATCTCTTGTATTCGGTTGGTTATACTTGCATCTGTGTTTCCTGTTCATTTACTCAGAGTTTCTATTTCCAGCATTCCCTCTGTTTGTGTCTTCTTCATTTTTTCTGTTTCCCTTTTCAGGTCTTGGACTGTTTCCCTCATCTGTTTCATTGCTTTTTCATGTTTTTTTTCAGGGACTTATTGTTTTCTTCTGCTTTATTTGTCTTTTCCTCAAGTTTTTTTATAGTGTTCTTCCCATATTTTGTTTGACTTTTCATGTTCTGTATTGATTTCTTCTTTAAAAGCCTCTAGCATCTTCATGACCTTATTCTTAAGGTTGCTTTCTTCTGCTTCTTCCATTTTGTGATATTCAGGTCTTGCTGTTGGAGGAGGGATAGGTTCTGGTGATGCTGTATTGCTCTTTATTTTGTTGTACTTCTGCCATGACGTCTGCCCATTTCCTCTTGGATTCGTTCTTGGTCTTATCAGTCCTCTTGGTCCAGACTGACAGATTCGGCGTTTCAGGAAGCCTCTCTTGGTCCAATGAGAGGTGGTGGATTCTGCTTCTCAGAAAGCCACTCTTGGTCTAATCAGGGCTGGCAGATTCCCTGTCTCCTGAGTTTACTCTTGGTCCAATAATGGCTTCTTGTCCAATGAGATATCTCTCTTTCTCTGGGCTGGGTGGGAGCTCTCTGGGCTAGATGGGAGCTCTCTGTGTTTAATGAGAGCTCTCTGGGCTAGATGGGAGCTCTCTGGGCCAGATGGGAGCTGGGAGCTGCTCACTAAGTCTCAGGAAGTGGCAGAGGTCTCAGGTGGATGGGTGTGGGGGCAGGGCGTGTAGATTGCAGGGTCTGCCGGGGGTCTTGGAGAAGGGAAACCCCCGCCCGATGGCCAGAAACTGGGGCCAAGTTGGGCGGGTCTTCCCCGGGAATGGCTGGTGCCCAGGGATGGGACCTAAGGGCAGGCCTCCCTGGGTATGACCCCACGCACTCACCTCTAATCCGGATGGGAGCTCTGTGCCAGATGGGAGCTGGGGGCTGGTCTCCCAAATGTTGTAATTTTTACAGCCAAAACTTAACAAGGATAAAATTGTAAAATCCTAGTCTTATTAAGGCTGCTTACTTGTTATAACTATTAAAGATAATTAGGATGTGAAAGCTAATCTTCAGTCACCTTATAAATGATCAAATTCTTTAGTGTGCTCATGTTAAGTACAACTGTAATTCATTTTCAGGGACAAGCTTTATTTAGTCTTCTGTGTATGTTTTCAAGGTTAAGTCTAAAGCAAGCAACTAAAAGCAAGTAAAGTTTATTTAAAATCAAGTCTACTGAAATAATTAAATGTTGACACTCAAACTCCTCAGAAATCTGCTGAATATGCATTTACAATGTTTAATTAGAAAAGCTTCCCATGATAGAAAAAATTGCTAGTTACTAGTGACAGCCCCAAGATCTCCTCCATAGAAGTAGATAGGGCACAATTGACTGCACCACAATTTTGGTAATGCTGATCACTGGGCATAGAACTGTCCCATGTCTCACCTGCCAGCAGGACCTTACCAGAACTGTGTGCAAACAGGACACTGGAGAATTGCCTGCCCCTCCTTACTTCCCAAGGCAGGCCAGTCTCTCAATTTCTCATCTACCCACCCCTCAAAAAAAAACTGTCTCAGATCTTCCAGGTCTACCAACTGAAATCTAATGCAATGAAACACTATGTGACTATCAAAGACTATCAAAGACCTTTGACCTGTGCCCTCAAGAGACCACCATGGAGAAGCCTAAAGTAACCATCTAGGTAATTCTCTGTCATTGTACTTTAAAAGGAAGATATTTGGCTTATACTTCCTGCTCAGATTTATCCTTCTCAGATCTCTGATGATGCTGGCTAACTCTAGCTTTATTGGTTTAACAACAGCAAGCACACAACTGCCTGGTCAGTCTTTCATAGGTGAAAATCAGGACTTGCTTTTCCTTGGGCTTCTAGGTCTTCTCCTGAAAAAGACAGACACATACAGTTTACCTTGCTGACAGGCTTCACACTAAAAGAGATTTGGAGTTTTGAAAGGGTATGAGAGTCTAGGAAAATGATTTAGGCTGTAAGTTCTAAGGATATAAAAGCTCACATTAGTTACGTGCTTCTAAAAATGGAATTTAAGGTATATAAAAGTCATAGGATATGAAAGCTTAAGGAAGTTGTAAGGGTCCAAGAAAATGATTTAAGGTATACAAATGCAAGTTATAAAGGTCTAAAAGATTATTTAAGGAATATACGAAACAATTGAAAAACCTTACCAGATTTCTTTTCCTCTCAGTCAGAGTTCTAATATTAATCAATGAAGGTAAGATTTTCTTCTAAGCTCCTTAACTTTACCTTCTGGTCCTAGTCTATATTTGTTCCATAAGATTTCCTATTAACTAATGACAGTGAACTGCTCTAAACACAGTGATTTTGTGATTCTTACCTTAAGTGATTCTTTGAAATTGGGAAGCTCTTGATGTGCTGAAATCCAATGTAAACCAGATGCTTCTGACAAAATTTCCTACCAACTTGAGCCCCAGCTTTGAACCAAAGCTTCCTGCACTTCATTAACCTCAGGTGTGCCAAAAATAAAAGCACATGGACAGCAAACCAGGTGTACTTTGTATCCTCTGGATTTTGACTGGCATTCTGGCATTCTGGCATTCCTGAACCCTGAGAACAGTGTCCTATTTCAGCTGAGAAACAGTTATAAAAGAGACTATCACCCCTTATAATTAACAAAAGGCTGGAATGTTAGGTCCAAAGGAAATTAGTTCCCCTCTACCAAAGCAGCCATTTCTATTATAATTTCCTTCTACCAAAGCAGCCATTTCCCTATCATTGTCAAAAGAAAAAAATGACTATCTGTGGTACTTATTAACGTACTAAAACATCCAGGGTACTTCAGTATTGCAAATATCTGTAAAATCAGAGAGTTACAAAAAGGTTTACATAAGATAGGCGCTAGGATCTGGTTGAATGTCTTAATTAAAATAGCAACCATTAACCCTACATAATTGTGAATCAGTTATTTGAATCATATGATATAGAGCCAGTGGAGAATGTGATGTTAAAGAAACTCCATTTTATGGTAGGTATCCATCTTGGTACCCAACATCCATTTTTCTCTGACTCGAATCCCTGGAAGATAAATTTTCAGTAACCCTGATTCAATGACACTCACCCAGTCAAAAGTGTACCGCCATGACTATATATTTGTTGTATTTGTTGTCTGTATGTGTCTGTAAGTTGCTTACACAGATACCCCAAGTTTGTTGGGGGTTGCCTTTACCACTTAACTGGGCAGAACAGAACAGGTTTTGCTTACCTGTATAGACACCGAACTTGTTTTCCTCTTTAAAAACCCTTCCTCTTACTCTTCATGTATGATAATTTCAATGTTGACTGAGAAACTGTTCATCTGGCTAGTAGCTAATCAATAAATCTTTTAATTTATAATTGGATTGAGTCTGTGGTCTTTTCCCAGGAATCACAAATTCCATATTGTGACTCCAGATTGTGATTGTGTGTTCATATTGGATACAATTTTCTCTGTTTAGTCAAAGAAAAGAGCATCTTCTACTGCCCTTTCTTCCTATCAGTATGGAAACAGTCATTTCCTGAGCTGTAGCTTATAATGCTGTCATTTAAACTTAATTCTTGCCTTATGATGACATATGGAGAACACAGTGTGGAATTATTCCTTCATGATGCACTCCTGACTCAAGGCTGCATTCTTCCTCTTAGAAACCTCAATTCATGAAGGCAGCTGTTGTCACCTGCCTTTCGTGATACAACCACTGCCAATCCTCCAATACACATTGTTTTCTCTATTCCTGACTCCACTGATGTTCTTGTTCCTACCCCAGCGTTGCTTGTAGAGACAGTTTGAACTTCATTAAGCAGCTTTTTGTTTAACATTATTAGTCCATTGTATGAAGGAAACCTAAGTATCTATTTCACTTTCTTAGTTACCATGCCTTCTTTTGTCCTCTAACCTGAGCAGCTCTGCACTCCATGAAATCCCTCTGCCTTTTTTCCTGGTTAATTTCTGTGCTCCTGGAATCTCTTTCAGCATGTTCACTTATTTCTAAATTATTAAATATTTAATTATGTTTTCCTCTAGCACTTTCAGCATTTCAAGTTTTTCAGGGATATCCTTGATCTGATTTGTGTTGGTTTTCATGTAGGGGGAGAAATATGGGTCTAATATCACTCATTTACACATGATAATCATTTTCCCTGCAGAGAATATTTAAAAGACTCACTTTTCCTGGGTTTGTCTTTGACCTATTCAGCTTACTTAAACCCTCTGCTTTACGTTTCTTTCTGGAATCTCTGTTCTGTTCAATTTTCTACATATTTCTTTATTTGTAGGTCCATGCTGTCTTTATCCTTGTGCCTCTGTATTATGATATAAGATCAGATCCTGTAATACCCCAAGGAATACACATTCTTCGATATCATTTTAATATTTATGATGTTCCTGTGTCTGTGTAGCTGTTTCCATACCTAATACCAGTATTTCCCATATAGGATTGCATCAGTTCTGCTGGTTGCTGTTAATAATATAATCATGTGCAGGATAGTTTTAAGTCAACTTGACAGAAGCTAGAGTTATTAGAGAGGAGGGACCCTCATTTGAGAAAATGTCTCCATAAGAATTGGCTATAGGGTATTTTCTTAAGGGTGATTGGTAGGGAGGGCACAGTCTATTGTGGGTGGTTCCATTCCTGGACTTGTGTTTCTGCCTTCTGTAAGAAAGCAGGCTCCATAAGCCATGAGGGACAAGCCGGTAAGCCACACCTCTTTATGGCTTCTGCATCAGTTCCTGCCTCCTGGTTCCTGCCATGTTTCAGCTCCTGTCCTAACTACCTTCAGTAATTACACTGATATGGAAGTGTGAACCAGATATACTGTTACCTCTCCAGCTTGCTTTTTGGTCATCGTGTTCCATGGCAGATGTAGAAACCCTCACCAAAACAAACCATATACACCATTTTGTTAATCAGTCAATGTGCACGCAAGTCCATTTCTTTGTGTACTATTGTTTTTCACTTTTTTCTGAATACTTTAAAAATTTCTTCATAGAAGCAAATTCATCATTATTTAGCATTATTCTTAGTTCTTTTGGAAGCAGCTTGAATGTCTTTAATTCCTAAAATACTTTGCAAATTGTCATTATTAATAAATAGGAAATGTAGTGATGTTGTGTGTTATTTTTTTCTCTTTAATTATATGTAAAGCACTTATCAAATCTATGATTTTCCCATGGTGAGTACAGCAAGTTTTATATGTGATCACATCATCTTTAAAAAGGAATTTGGTGACTTGGCTACCTGTTTATCCTTAATTCCTTTTTGTCATTCAGATTTTTCTGATTCTCTCTTATGACTCTGAATTCAGTAAGACTGGAGATTGTATGCACCTTCCTCTCCTTAACAGTTTTCCAGCTAATGCTATTCATTTTTTCTGTTGTACTCTTGGCATTGGTGTAGCACACTTGCCCTTTACTGTGTTCAGCTGTATTCCATTTCTTCCTGTTACCTTTAGGAGTTTACTATAAAATCTGTTGGTTTGTCCTACGGCATTTCTATTCTACCAGGATTTTCATATCATGGGGCTCATATTATGTGTTTTTTTTTTCATATTCTGGTTTGTAATACTACTGGTAATAATTTGCTTCATTCTAGTTAGAAATAGTAGTTTGATGGTTTTATTTGTTGGACATAGTCTGTTACTCCCAAGCTCCTCTATTCCTTATAAAAGGAATTAATATATATTATATATATTATAAAGGCATTATTTCCTGTGTTCTGATGAATAATTTCTTTCTGATTTTTCTCTCTACACTTTGCCTCTAATGATGGTTCGCACTGCTACTTGATGGGGTGACCTGTGCTATTTTATAACTTTTTTTATTTGCCCTTTCTTCTCCGTGAATTTTAAGAGCCCGTGTTTCTGGATGCAATGATAAGGTCCGTAGTCATTTTCTTTCTCCATTCCAAATATGTTTTTCAATTCTATGTGTAGGAATGTTGAAAAGTTTACTGGTATCATTTTGGTTTTAAGTCTTTTTATGTGATTGGGCATTATCCATAACAGCTGAATTAATTTTAGCTTTGTATTTTTTGACATCTTGATGTGACGTTTCAACAAGAATTCTGGCCAGTGTTTCTGATAGAGAAACTGAGTGAAAAGCAACAAGAAGAATGAATGCTTCTGTGATGAGTGCTCCTCAGGTCAGTGTCATGTCCACGTTTCTTTGAAAATTGTTTTTGTTATTGAAGCTATTCAAGACTTTAATTCTCTTCCTCTAGTAATGCTATCTAAAGTCTTTATTTTCTATAATTTACCTTTGTTTTTTCTCTGACAATCAAGAGTAAGTCTTTAGATCATTCATCTATGTAGTGCAGCCTGGTCCCATTATATTTTCACTCTATTTTAAACTGTGAGGACATAAAATTTTCATGGAATTAATACCTGCCATTCTGAAAGAGAATCTATTATAATTGGTGCTCCTAAAAATATATTGATTGACAGTTTCTACATAGAATGGACTTGTGTCCGTTTATAGTCATGAGGAAGGAGGGTTTCATGTGCCTCATAGATTGCATTTCTTGGATGGTCAGGTTTCCAGAAACATGCTTATGAGTGTTTACATGCAAATACATTGACCTTCATCTTTCACTGACATCACTGAGCAATTTATGCAAAAGTACAATTAGAAGACACTCGCTGTCTTGAATCCAAATAGGAAATATTACAGCACCCTAGAGAACATGTAGTAGAAAGAATAACATGTCTTTCTCTTTCCATAAAATGGATTTGTCTATGAGAATCCTTGTATCTCTTTTTGGCGTTTTATGTCAAACAGTGATGATGGGTGTGTTGACAACTGAAATCTATCTGTCTCAGGAAAGGTTCTGTACAATTCTCAGTGGTAAGTTCTCAATAGACAGATGATTATTTTTCTATTTCTTTTTTTATTTTTCACAAGGGTCATATGCACTACTGTCTCCACCTTTTAATTCTATCATGTGAAATATATTCCTAAGAATTTTCTGGACAGTATTGACTTGTTGCTGTGCTTCAGGCATCAATTTTCAAGCATGAATGGATGTCCCTCTTAATTACTTTGTGTCTTTATTTTTTGGAGGAAGAAGATTCCTTCCACCCTATGCTTTCCTTCTTGCTGAAGCTATTTTTTTTTTGGTAGGGAGAAATCTTTAAGAGTAGTGGTAATGGTTCTATTTCTCTCTCTCTCTCTCTCTCTCTCTCTCTCTCTCTCTCTCTCTCTCTCTCGATTGGTTTTTCAAGGCAGGGTTTCTCCATGTAGCTTTGGTGTCTGTTCTGGATCTCACTCTGTAGAACAGGCTGGCCTCGAACTCACAGAGATTTGCCTGACTTTGCCTCCCGAGTGCTGGGATTAAAGGCATGTGCCACCACCGCCCGGCTCTATTTCTTTCTTTACAATAATATTCTATGTTATTAGAACTCAACATATGAATGTTCATATGCATATTTTTACGGACACTGCGTAATGCCTTATGCCACGAGATGCCTGTGGTTGGCACCAAACCCTTGGCACTGAATTCAGGCATTGTCAGGAGCTGCCATGTGTGTAGAGATTAAATTATGTTTATCTTCAGAAACAGCAAGTGCCTTTAACCTCTGAGTAATTTCCCAGACCACAGGTTTACATTTTTGTGCACATTTGTGACAAAGACAGTATATAACTTTGTATCTTCTAGTTTTCAACAGTGAAGAAAGAGTTACAGGTGATAATTATCTATGCAACTTAAAATACTGCTAAATGAATGAGCTCTAATACTGAAGAAGTGAATAAAGTTGAAATTAGAAGATTCAAATTTTCAACTGACCCAATCTCATGACAATAATGTAAAATTAGTGAAAAGTCAGTATAATCATCATTCACTTTAATTCATTATTTCATTCACAGAAAATGTTTCTGCTTCATTTGAGTGCATTGTCAGATATGCCATTTATTTACACATGGATTTCTCCTTCTGTAGCGAAACACCATATGGAATTTATGAAATGGTTATATTCTGTATTGCTTTTGTCCATTTTTAGAAAAATGTAAATAATATTCATTCTTTCTAATGCTTCATGGTTGTGAAGATATTCTCATAAAATAACTTTACAAAGTATTTGATTCTATGTGTTGTTTGGGATATTGGATGTGTCCAGTGATATCACAGTGCTTACTCTTTAAAGAAAAAAACTCTGATTTTAATTCATCCATAAATCTGAAATCTATGTTCTACCTATTTGTAATATAGAAAGGCTGCAACATTGTACCTGGGTCTCAGAATGTGAACTGAGAATTTTAGAATAGAGTAAGTTGGGACCCAGTTTCAGACAAGATTAATTTGGTGTCTGATATTTAAGTAAGGCCTACAGTTGTAGAATTTGGAAAAATAGTTTTGCTCATCATAACTTGACCATCTGTGATGTGACACTGGGGTCCTGTTTGATAGTAACACATAAAGATACATTACAGCCTCTAGTGCTCAAATTTGTATCTTTTCTAGCGTGAAACATTTACTGATTTTGAGACTGTTTTATGTCATCCTGTTTTCACAGAGATTATAAATACAGTAAAAACTGACTAGTTTAGAAAGTATCTTTAATTAAAATTTAATTTAATTTTATGTATGTAAGTATATTTGCCTGAATGTATGTGTGTGTGTGCTCTGTATGACTCCTGCCTGTAGAGTTCAGATGAGTTGCATTGGTTCTTATAGAACTGGGGTTAATATTTGTTATGTAATGCCTTGAGGGTGGTGGGAACCATATACATTTTAAAGGACTTTAAAAGCCTTTACAGAATCCAAATTGAAGACAAAATTTTCAAATGTAGTGATGGTGGCAAATCCTTTATGGGCTGGCTGCTCAGGTCTTAGAAATCATCAGAAAATTCATGGAGAAATAGCTTATGAATGTAAGTAATATAATAAGTCATTCTATACATTGTCTATGTAAGAGCAACAATGCTTAACTTCTGACCTCTCTAGAGCACTTCTCAAACACTTTTGTCCCTGATTGATTGCTAATGACTCATCTGCATTACAAAACTATCCCCAGTTCTTTAGATCTCTTTTACTTAGGATAGCATTTTGTGCAGCAGCTATAGTAATTAGGTGATTTTCCATTACAGAGGCTGTTAACATTCAGGGATGTGGCTATAGACCTCTCACAGGAGGAATGGGAAAGTCTAGACTTTGCCCAGAGGGCATTGTACATGGATGTGATGCTGGAGAATTATTACAATCTAGTCTTTGTGGGTAAGAATGTTTTTCTCATACAATTCCTGATTTACCCTTTGTTTCCCCCATTTTGTATATAAATAAATTCTTTGAACTGTTTAGAGACTCCCAGCACTAAGGGGAATTCTGGTCATTAACTTAACTTTTTTATGATGCTTCCTTTACATTTTTTTGTGTTCTCTGGAAGAGTAACCAAATGCTATATACTGTGTAATCTCTCTAGCCCTCTTATATAGTTTTTAATGAAAACTTCAAAATTCAAAAAAAATGTATATTCAGGGCAAGGAACTATATTACAGTACACATAATAATTGGAATATTTTTGATTTTACTATTAAATTAAACTAGTCATTTATTTCTGATTTTAAAAAAGTTCAGAAGGTTATAGGTAGAGAAAGAGCTGTTGGTTGTGAGAATGTTGTTCCTTTATTTATTTAATTTTTGAGAGGTGGTCTCAATATGGAAAATTTCTTTCTGAGAATTCAAAGGGGACCAACTGCCACAGCATGATTTTCACCCTAGCACTTTGAATACTGAAGCAAGAGGGTATGTTGAGTTCCATATCACCATGGGTTATATATTAAGCTCCTAGCTCAGCAGTGCCTCACAGTGTGACTCTGTCTCAAAATCATAAACAAGAAAATAGAGAGGAGCATTTTTCATATGAGCTCCTTTGTCAAAGTTCTTTATTGCTTGATCACCCCTTTGCCCTACCTTCTGCAAGGTACAATGTTTAGATAAGAATGAGACGCCTTTTATTGGTCCCAGCGTTTGATACATATCACATTGGAGGTTCTCACGAGCTTCCATTTAATGATTGTGAATCAGAAAATGCCTTTCCTGAGAGTTTCTAGTTTACATGTCTCAGAAAACATCAGTTATTGAATCTTTTACTCATGCATTAATCTCTGTTATTCCAAATTGTATTAATTTTCCAGAAAACCATTGCATATGTGATAAATATGAGGTCTTGGATCAAGACACAAAGCATATTTCCCATGATCATGTGAATATCCAAGGGACGCCATTTCAATGTAATGAGCTTGGCAAAGGTATTCATGAATCTTCTGACAGGAATGACATTGCAGAAAAGTACAAGGACAGATTGCTTAACCACAGACATGCCTCTGTTGAATTATTAGATATAAATAGACATGTAAGTGGGAACACTGGAGAAGAACCTTACAAATACAAAGAATGTGTAAACTCTTTAGATTTCTGTTCTATCATTAGTCAAAATCAAATAATCCACACAGCAATAGAAGAACAGGAAAATACAGAGTATGATAAATCTTTTGACCCTAAACATATACTCACACTGAAACGAGCCAGTAGTGCAAAGAAACCACAGCAATGCAAGAAATGTGGACAAATTTTCAAGATGTACTCAAGTCTCAGTAGACATCAGAGAGCTCATACTAGAGAGAAATCCTATAAATGTACAAAATGTAATAAATCCTTTCTGCATTTGTCCCAACTCAAAGTGCATTGCAAGATCCATTCTGGAGAAAAACCCTACAAATGTACAGAATGTGATAAGTGCTTTTTTCATACATCAGACTTGGAAAGACATTACAGCATCCACACTGCAGGGAATACTTACAAATCTAATGATTTTGGCAAATCCTTTATCTGCTGTTCAGATCTTACAAAACATCAGACAACTCCTGGAGGAGAGAGACTTTCTGGATGTAAACAAGCTACTAGTACATTCTACACATGTTTACACCTTGACCATTGTGGAATCCTTACAGGAGAGAACTTTTTCATATGTAGTGAATGTGGTAAATCACTTTGCATGTTTTCAGGTCTTAAAAGACATCAGAGAATTCACACAGGGGAAAATCCTTACAAATGTAATGAATGTGAAAAATCCTTTACCCAGGAAGGCAGTCTTAGAACTCATCAGAGAATACATACAAGAGAGAAACCTTTCAAGTGTAGTGAATGTGACAGATACTTTGCCAGGAAATCCTATCTTAGAACTCATCAGAGAATACATACAAGAGAGAAACCTTTCAAGTGTAGTGAATGTGACAGATACTTTGCCAGGAAATCCTATCTTAGAACTCATCAGAGAATACATACAGGAGAGAAACCTTTCAAGTGTAGTGAATGTGACAGATACTTTGCCAGGAAATCCTATCTTAGAACTCATCAGAGAATACATACAGGAGAGAAACCTTATAAATGTAGTGAATGTGACAAATCATTTACCCAGAAAAGCAATTTTAGAACTCATCAGAGAATCCATACAGGAGAGAAACCTTACAAGTGTAGTGAATGTGAGAAACTCTTTACCTACAGCTCTCATCTTAGAAGACATCAGAGAATTCATACAGGAGAGAAGCCTTACAAATGTAGTGAGTGTGACAAATCCTTTATCAATTGCACAGAACTTAGAAGACATCAGAAAGTTCATACAGGAGTTAAACCTTATAAATGTAATGAATGTGACAAATACTTTACCCAGAAAGGCAGTCTTAGAACTCATCAGAGAATTCATACAGGAGAGAAACCTTACCAGTGTAGTGAATGTGACAAATCCTTTATCAGGAAAGTCCATCTTAGAACTCATCAGAGAATACATACAGGAGAGAAACCTTACCAGTGTAATGAGTGTGACAAATCCTTTACCCAGAAATTTAATCTTAGAACTCATCAGAGAATTCATTCAGGAGAAAAACCTTATAAATGTAGTCAATGTGAGAAATCTTTTATCCAGAAAGCCAGCCTTAGAACACATCAAAGAATTCATATGACAGACGCCTTACAAATGTAGTGTATGCAGAAAAGTCTACCTGGATTTCAAGTCTAAGGAAACACCTGAAAATTCATAACTAGGGATAAAAGCTTCTGTAGGAAATAATGTGGCACATGCTTTAACCAGGCTCTGCCCTTAGCTGCACTTGAAGTTTCACACTGGAGAATCATGAACATGAGAAACTTGTGAAAACCTTTAATAATGTTTAATCTTGGAAAGCAAGACATTATGTTGAGGGAAATTCTGAAAATGTGGCAATGCAAGAAAATTTTCATTAAAATTTTTTACTTGTTCATCCTCAAATACTTCATCATGAAGACATCATGGAGAAGCCTAAAGAATATGCTATTGTGTAACAGTATCCTGGAGACTGAAATGATACAGTTTGAAGGGAAGCTGATTAAGACAGGAACTACGTTATTCAAAATAACTTAAAAGAAATCCCTGAACCTGACAAGATTCAGTATGCTTACCTCAATTGAAGAAACCCAGACCAATCATGCCAGTTAGAAGGAGATTTTGCAGATTGAGTGTCCAAGACTGGATGCTCTTAATCTGTAGATATGCCTCTGTGTGCTATGAGTATTCAGTATTCATTAGGTTTATCCCATGCTCTTTGGATTTTAATGATGGCAACTGTCTTTGTGTCCCTTTTGCTCTGGTAAAATACTCTTTCCTCATGTTTGTTAAGTAAGGCAAATAAAGCTGATTAAGTCAACAAGTTACACTTGATTCTGTTTTCATTTCCCAGTTGGGGTAAACAGGTGCATGCATATATGTTGCATCTCTCCAGGAAAAGTGTTTCATGAAACATGTACCGAACACATTAATCTTGTAAACAGAAAATTGGTATTAGAGCATCTGTTCTCAACATCAGGTTTGCCACCCCTTTGGATGTCTAACTATCCCTTTACTGGGGTTGCTAAGACCATAGGGAAACATATTTCTTTTTTTTAAGGGATTTTTTTTTCTTTTTCAAGACAGGGTTTCTCTGTGTAACTTTGCGCCTTTTTCCTGGAACTCATTCTGTAGCCCAGACTGGCCTCGAACTCACAGAGATCCACCTGCCTCTGCCTCCTGAGTGCTGGGATTAAAGGCTTGTGCCACCACCGCCCATCCCATCCTAAGGAACTAAAGCCTCAAAAATTGGAAATAAGAAAAGATGGGTTAAAAATGTTAAATGATTTTCAAAAGTTATTAGGAGACATTCAATGGTTATGACCTTATTTGAAGTTACCTACCAGTGTTTTGAAACCTTTAAGTGATATTTTAAAAGTAGAGAATGTTCCTAATTGACCAAGACAATTAACTGAAAAAGGAAGACAAGTTCTTTTGGAAGTGGAGAATGCTATTCAATAATAATCAGTTCCCAGCTGATCAATTATTACAATTCACTCAAATGCAGTCATTTGTATTTCCTAAGATTCTGATGAAAAATCCTGTAAGAGATGCTATACTACTTTTTACTGATGATTCTTCTAATGGGAAAGCTACTTATGTTATCCACAGAAAAAGCTATGTAGTACAAATAATCCCAGCTCCTGCACAGATAGTGGAATTACAGACAGTAACTATGGTTTTTCAATTTCTTATAGACAGTTTGTTTAATTTATATACAGATAGTCAGTATATTTATAGAGCTCTTCAAGTCATAGAAACTTCCATGCATTGGGTTCAGATGAGTCACCATCAGCCCTTCCTAGGGGCCTATCATATTTATACCCTGATTGACCCAGAGGCCACAGAAAACCAGAGGGCTTTTAATATGGCTTTTGTTTCCCAGTCAGAAATTAGGAAGAAAATTGAGAAAGTAGAAGAATTTTTGGGAAAAGTATTGTCAGATTTAGTTGAGATTACTTCCCAGGTATACAATCATACAGATACCCTAGAGAACAGACAGACTAGGAAACTAGCTACGATTATGATGGCAGCTTACCAAAGGGAAGGATCCCAGAATTCAGAAGAAGAGCAAAGAAAGAGCTAAGTAGACATAAAAAAGAAACTCTTATGAGGAAAAACCATTGTACACTCTGCAAGGATATAGGCCACTGGAAAGACAAATGCCCAAGTCAAGAGCACAAGTCTGCATCTGTGCTCCAGCTAGGGAGAGAATGCTGGAGTCTGGGCACAGCCACCACCCCATCCTTGAGCCCAGGGTTACTCTGAAAGTGTGGTGTGGCGACTCCTGTCAAATTTCGGTTGCATAAGGGAGACACCTACTCAGTTCTGAAACAGGTGGGCCAAAGTAGACTATAACACAAGGAGCTACTTGTTCACAAATTTGCGTTTGGACCACCAAAAGAACTGTACACTTGAGAAATGTGACAGTCACCCATTCTATCCTGGTAATGCATGGTAATGTCCATATCCTCTGCTGGGATGTGATGTACTCCACAAATTGAGGGCAAAAATACATTTTCAGTGGAAAAGATTAAATTTGTCTTAAGGAGTCCTAAATTAACAAATACAATTATGCCAACAACCTTCCTCTGGAGAACTTTCAAGAACATGATGGGAGGATGTGCAGAGATGACCGGCCACACTAGTGGAAGCCCATGAACTGTGGACTGGTGGCTGTGGAGGCTCCATGGGACTGGACTAGGCCCTCTGGATACGGAAGATGGTTGTTTGGCTCAAACTGTTTGGGGACCAGGCAGGGGGATCGGGATCTGTCCCTGGTCTATGGGCAGGCTTCTGGAATCTGGTGCCTGTGGTGTGACACCTTGCACAGCCTTGGTGCAGTGGGAAGGGGCTTGAACCTGCCTAGGTTCAGTGTGCAGGGCTCTGCTGACTCCCCATGGGTGCTGTGGGATGTTCTGTTTGGCAAATGTGTTGCTGATTAGTCAATAAATAAAACACTGATTGGCCATTGACTAGGCAGGAAGTATAGGCAGGACAAGGAGGAGAATAAAACTGGGAAGTGGAAGGCTGAGTCAGAGAGACACTGCCAGCCGCCACGATGACAAACAGCATGTGAAGATGCCGGTAAGCCGCGAGCCACGTGGCAAGGTATAGATTTATAGAAATGGATTAATTTAAGCTGTAAGAACAGTTAGCAAGAAGCCTGCCACGGCCATACAGTTTGTAACCAATTAAGTCTCTGTGTTTACTTGGGTCTGAGCGGCTGTGGGACTGGCGGGTGATAGAGATTTGTCCTGACTGTGGGCCAGGCAGGAAAACTCAAGCTACACATGAGAGACCTCGATTTGTGGGATGTGCGGATGTGGAGTGGCTTGGGAAAGAGGGCTGGGGGTGGGAGGAGGGAGGAGGGGGGAATCTGTGGGTAGTATGTCGAGTGAGTAGAAAATTTCTTAATAAAGAAAAATGAAAAAAAAAGATTTGCAACAAAAATTTCCTTCTGTCTGGGCTGAAGAAAATGCACCAGGACTAGCAGTCCAACTATGCCACTGTCATAGTGGAACTGAAAAGTAACACTAACCCTGTCAAGGCGAATCAATACCGTCTGACTTAGGAAGCAAAACGGAATCAAAGTCCACATAAACAGGCTGCTTGAAGCTGACATACTGGCCACTTGTCACTCGCCTGGTGGCACAGCCATATCATATCTGATGGGAACAGCAAAAATCATAAAGCCAGTACAGCTGCTTGCCTACAATCCAGCAAAGCTGAGCTGTATTATCACTGTTTTTCACTTTTCATTTTGATCTTCATGTGTTGCATGCTTGGGGGGATTTTAATATTTGTAGAACTTTGGGATATTGGATTGATGGGAAATTTCTTATGAGTCATTTAGGCTTTTTCCCAGGAGTGTTGCTTCTAAGCTTCCCCAGGAAAGTCCTGAGCATGCTACCTCCCCCACACTTTTAGGGGAGATATCCCAATCTGGCTCTACTAGAATGTCTTCTTTGGGCCCTGGAGATAGGGACACACACTAAGGTAGCAGAGATCTCCTTATGAGGCTCTGAGATTTTCTTGGAACATCTGCCCCTGTACTTACTTGGGAACAAGACAATCAAAACAAAGTAAACTTATAAAGGTCAACAAGATTTGATGGGCTAGAGAAATTGGCAGCAGATTAGATTACAAGCCTCTTTCTACTATACGCTCAGGCAATTACAATTACGTGGCAGATAAGATTGAGTGCCTCAAATAGCATGACCCTTGAGAGAAAGATATAACAACAGTTAGATTGGGTGGAATTACCTCCACGCTACACAGAGACATATTAATGTGCAAACAATGATGTAGAAAATTGATAAAAGAATGAGGTATCAGGACCTCCATTTCCTAGAAAAATTAGCTTGTACAGAGCCACTGTGGTGGAACAAAAGAATGCCAGATTAGACATATAAGTAAGTTCTATAAAAATATAAAATGTAAACATTATATTATGTCAGAAATTAATAACTGCAGCAGTTTTTACCTGAGGAGTTCCCTTGGGCCTACTATCACTCTGACCATTAAGAGTTAATAATGCTTGGGACTTGGCAATCTGCCTGGGCTAGCTTAGAGATTTTCTGTCTAGGGTCCTTGAAACCACAAGAGCTGCCTAGAAGTTGTGTTATGGGGCTGATGAAGAAAAATAATGAGTGAAAATGACTGTGAAAGATAACTTTGTTCTGACACAAGTTTATCAATGATGACTGAGAGATATGAACGAGGAAGTGAAACACATCAGATGGAAACAAATGATATAATGTTTTGGAGAAATATAAATCTATCCCTGCTTGCTAAATTCTAAATAAATAAAAAAGCATTCTGACTGACAATTAGTCAGGATGCAATATTCTGACCACAATGGCTTGACTCAAACCTCTCTTGCTTATTCCTTGCATATTTGGAATCTGACAACCACTGGGGCTATCCCCCAAGAACTCTTGGAATACTCCATTGATGCTTATCAGAAAGCCAGGAACAGGTGATTATAGGCCAGTTCAACAACCTTTGGGAGGTGAACAAGGAAGTTCAAGACATATACTCAATGTATACACTCCTGTATACACTCCTAATTAGGTTCACTTCCCCTGGAAGGCAGGTCTATTCTGTGATCAATCTGAAGCACACCTCCTTCTTCAGTACTCCTCTGGCTAAATCAAGTCAATTGAACAGATAAGATACTGTGGTGGTTTTAATAGGAGTGCCCCCAATAGACTCATGTGTTGAATGCTTGGCCAATAGGGAGTGGCCCTAGTAGGAGGGGTGGCCTTGTTGAAGTAGGTGTGGCTTTGTTGGAGGAAGTGTATCACTGGGGGTGGGATTTGAGATCTCTGTCATTAACTGAACCAGAGTATGGCAATTCTCTTCCTGCTGCCTGCTGACCCATATGTAAAATTCTCAGCTCCTCCAACACCATGTCTGCCCATATGCTACCATGCTTCCTGCCATGACAATAACAGTCTAAACCTCTAAAACTGTAAAACAACCCAAATTAAATGTTTTCCTTTAAAAATGGTGCCATGGTCATGGTGTCCTTTCACAACCATAGAAACCCTAAAACAGATGTGAAAAAAATGGAACAATGGCCAATTGACATGGACTAGATTGCCTCAGGTTTTGAAAGATTCTCCAGCCTTCTTTGATGAAGCCCTCCACGGAGACTTACAGGCATTGAAGTCCAACACTAAAAATGTCATGATTCTGCAGTATGTGGATGACCTCCTGCTGTCAGCAGAATCCA